AGAGTTAGTTATGGTATTACCTTTGGTGTTAAGTAGCCCCCGTTCCTTCCACATGGCTGCGTGTGACCTGCGAGTATGCAGGCACGGGTGGCAGCAAGGAGCTCGGCCTGTTGGTTAGTAGTGCCCGATGGTAATGGGAACGCCTCTATGACTGAGCTGGATTTAGGGGTGGGCAAGGAAGGAATGAAAGGGATGGGTGTTCTAAAAAGGAAGAAAGTAGGGCTAGGAGCCTGGACGGGGGAAGGGAATGTAGCGCCTTGTAGGTGAGGAGGTCTTTTAGATGGTGAGGTGAGAGTATGGTTAGGGGTGCCCCAAACGTTAATTTGTGTGCTTCCCTTTGTAATGCATTTCCGGCTGCCAGAACCCGGAGGCAGGGGGCCCACCCGCGTACAGTGGGGTCAAGTTGTTTGGATAAATATGCTACTGGGGCGAAGGAGGGGCCATATGTTTGTCCCAGGACTCCTAAGGCTTGACCTTCTCTTTCGTGGATATAGAGTGAAAAAGGGTTGGTGAGGTCAGGAAGATGTAAAGCGGGAGCACTAACCAGAGCATGGCGGAGTTTTTGGAATGTCTTGTTAGGGGCAGTAGAGAAGGGTATGTGTAGTGCTAGTAGGAAAGGGGTTGTTGGAGATGGGGGGATATGGAAATGGAGACATGTAGCCCAGCAAGGATGTCTCGACCCAATAATGGAATGGGACATTGAGGCATGACCAGAAATGAGTGGGAAAAGGAGAAGGAACACCTTCGATATGGCAAGTTAATGGAGGCGTTCTGCGGGGGTATATATGTTTTCCTCCTACCCCAACTATAGGGGAAATGTTACGTGTGGTTGGGCCCCGAAACTAAGACCGAAAAAGTGGCTCTTGTGTCCAGGAGGAAGGAAACGGGTCGGCCATCCACAACAATAGACCCTGGGCTCGCTTTTTGTGATGGTCATGGTCGGGAAGGACCCAGGGCCCCGTCAGTCCTCTTCAGCCAGTCCCACCAGAGGTGTTTGAGGTGCCCGGGATGGCTGGGGCTTGTTAGGCCAATCTCCCCTTTGGGTGATTGGGCAGTCCGAGCCCCAATGTCCCATTTTTTGACATTTAGGGCATGGTGTGGTGGGCGGTCTGGGGGAAGGACAGGACCGAGACCAATGACCCTCCTGTCCGCATTTAAAGCAAGCCCCAGGTGGAGCGCTAGGTTTAGGAGAGTGCCCAGAAGGCGTTTTTATGATCTGGGCCAG